TTTTCTGTCATTTTCAGGTTTTTGTCTGTTTTCTTTCTCATTTCTTCCCTTCTATTTGGCTTCTTTTTCATTACTGTGTCACTGATGTGTTCCTGTCTTTGCTGAGAACACTCTCTGACACGGTTTTGAAGACTAGAGCCGCTTTTACACCCGTGTTCCCAAGCTGCCCGTAAATTGTGCCGGTTGGTTTCTTTTTTTGTATGACGCATTCTTCGGTATTGTGCCAATGTTGTGTTCTGTTTTACGCGAAGAACACACTTTGGCATGGTTTTGAAGCTTGTGTGTGTTTTTTAAATGAGCTTTTTTCAAGATTTGTGCTAGTGCCCGTTATTCAGGCCGGTCGATGAGTTTTTTTCGTTCGTTTTTTGCTTGTTCTTTTTTTGTATGGCTCATACTTCATTAACTGTGCCATTGTTGTGTTCCTTATAATGAGGAGAACACACTTTGGCGCGGTTCTGAAGCCTGAGGTACTTCTGAACAGGCTTTTTTTAAGCTGGTGGCCTCTTTTTGCACTGGTCCGTAAGTTTTATTCGCTTACTTTTTGTTGTTCTTTTTCACATGGCTCACTCTTCATTGCTATGCCTTGTTGTGTTCCTTTTCATGAGGAGAACACACTTTGGCACGGTTTTGAAGTTTGTAGTTTTTCCAAATAGCCAAATTTTCAAGGTTTGCTTTGGTGGCCGCCATGTGCAGCTGGTGACTTCTCTGGCTCATTTTTTATTTGCTCTTCTTTATGTGTCTCAACCTTCATTGCTATGCTACTGTTGTTCTTTCTCATGAGAAGAACACACTTTGGCACGGTTTTGAAGATTGACGTCTCTTCTACCTACGCTTTTTACGCTGCGTTCTGCAGTCGTCATGTTTTCATGAATGTTTTCGCGAACATGATGAAAATTGTAGGTAGACATGCAAACTATCACTGCTATATTATTATTATTCTATTCTGTATAGATTTTTGTAATTTCCGCCGAGGAAGTGTGGCTGTTACCCCTGATTTCGCCTGCCGCTGCCTTCAGTTATCACTGTTGCCAAGGTAGAACTCCCTTTTTTCAT